TTCACGAATAATGTACAGACTCTCTCCTATCTCATGGCATGTACCTTTACAGATCTGTCCTCTCACACATAGAGACATTTCCATAGGCCCCACTGAAAATATCAAATCTACCGAGTTCTAAGTTTACGCCAACGTGTTCTCTATGTTCTGACCACCCCTTGAGAAAGCGACAACGGCGTGGCAGCGAAAGGTGAGAACACAACAGTGAACACGTCCACTGCCGGAGATGGACCGACAAGAAATCATCTCGTTCACAGGGGCTAAATGGGTTGTTGCATTGCAGGACTATGATGATGGCAGTGAAAAACAAGTAGCAATACTGGACTACCGATAAGTGCCTTGCCTTCGGTAATCTGATTCAACTATCGCACCACTTGGAGAGAGTTAACTCCCCAAAGCTGTCCTCGGTGAAGGGCTCAGCGACAGGCACCGGAGTGGGCGTACGGGATATTTACCACGGATCGCGAGACACAGCGACGCAAGACAAGGGAAAACAGGAGCTCCAAACTTAGACAGGCTGACGGACAGACAGACGAAACTGGCAGCGGCAACAAAAAAAAACACATAAACAAACGGCAAGAAGGCCCATTGGTGAATTATTATAATCAATGCTTTGACGGACAGACGCAGGTGCTCCTGGGTCGCTCGTGGCAGGCTGTGGGCGAGCGAGTTGTAGACGTCGTGAATAAACCCGTGAGCTGTGCTTCGCGGTCTGAGATGGCAAACGTGAGCGATGCAGCGGCAGAGGTACACACTCGGTGTACGCGCGTGTGATGGCACTCACGTTTTAAAACGCTTTTTTGGAAATAAAGTAAGAGTTGGCTACGTACGGTGCGAAAGAAGTTCAACATACATACGGAAACATGGCTTGTTATTATATGATTCAAAATGCACTTGGTTATGAATGTTAAAAGGAGCATCTTGGAGGGTTACACTCATAATGTGTTTTGTTCATCATAAAACTTGAAATGTAACATTGACAATTATACAATAAATTGTAAGTTCATATTATTTGGGTCTTTTGGTCAAGCCACTTAGATAGGAAAATAACCGAAAGACCCAAAGAATATGAATTCCTGCAGCCACGAAAGCTTTAAGTCAACATTAAAATTGTAAGTTGATCACTTTAGTTATACTAATGATGATACAAAGTCATTTACAGCCCCGTGCAAATCAACTGCTGGATGAAGGCCTCTTCAGACCAAGTCAGTTATGGAGGTTGTTTATCCAAACTTTACCACACTTGTGAGTGCATGTTGGTGAAGGGGGCAGACCTCAGGACTGTTTCAGATATCTCTGTCACTGATGTTAGCCATGGCCCGCAATTGGGCTCGGGTTAATAGGTATAAGAATAGGATTTTCGTTATGAATAAAGATGTAATGCTTGCAATTAATGTTTAGATAACATTGTGTGAAAATAAATGACGACATTTTAATCTAGCAATAGGAATAGAAGCGATATTAGTTGCAGTATTATAGTGCTGAAGTATTATTCCTTAAGAATTAAACCTCATAGATTAAATTACCACGGTGAAACGTGAGTCATCAGAGAACACTGTAAGAGACAGGGCTCGAAAAACCCAAACAGCCTTTATACTTAACGCTGGCACGCGTTTTTGTCCTCAGAAGCAATATATAATGTCTAGATTTGGTAGAACTCGAAATTGCTCACATAGCAACCTCACCAGCGTGAAAAATAAACAAACATGTTTGTGTACTCTTGTTCGTAGCGTTCCTGTAAATGTCAAAATAACTTTTACAATTCTACGTGAGCCGCATTAAGAGGCAGATTGCAATTACGTGAAAAATTAAAATGCGATAATGAGAGGATGCGTCGTCTACCTCGCTGTACTGTCTTCTCCTCGACGGTGCTCATTATAAGCCTTCGGATTTGTTTTCAAATAAAACACACGTGTCACGGCAACCCTCTATTTACATTTTAGTGACCTCATCCAATGGGCCCAGGATCAAGGAGTCTTTGTTTTTTTGCAGCACTGTATAAGTAAGTAAACAGTTTGTAAGAGCGAGTTCAATTGCGTGGGCACCAGTGAGAGTAATGGCTCTTTAAGACAGGAAAAATATCTTGTTTATCGTATGTCATCATCATCATCATCACCACGATCCATGGGCAGACAGGTCGTAGGTGTCCACTGCACATTTCGTCATTTGTTTCCAGCGTATGTACGTCTCAATATTGGCGCCCAGTCTAAATGTATTCCAATTTACAATTATTTATACGAAAACAACATCCTGCAATTTTAACAAATGTACAAGTTTAATTTCGTTGGCTTTTTTAATTCACGCATTTATCCTTGTCACAGTCTAAATCTCCATGTTGAACTTAGCAGTGGGATGATGAAATCTCCGTATAGAACGGTCACAAATACCATGCCTATACATCGAGACCTACTGTTGAACATAAATCCCAAAGCTCCAACCCTGCCTACAATGTTGAAGACTCCCTGACGTGGTTTGAAAAACGAGGCCAACGTTAGCCAATGCTATGGTCCAATACCAATGCAGTGTTTGTATATTATTCGTATATTACGTATTATTTGCAATGGTTGCACGTTTTGTTACAGTTTACGAGTAAAATATTGTTCATGGCTAAAGACAAGTGTGCGTGCACATGTACACAGGATGTACGTATATGTGTGCTCACTAACAGCTCTTGCCCCAACAGCATGTTAAAGGCTATTGAGGCTTACTTTATTTGTATATACAGAACATTTAGAGAACATAAATACTACATTTCTGCACAGGTAATGCCTAAATTCCTGCTGCGAATATCACCTTATCTCTTTTGGGTCAAGATAAGAGAGGTTCAGGAAGAAGACATAATACTTAGAATGACGAGAATATGAATCATGTGAAACCAGTTAAAGCAATGTTAAATCAATATATTAAGTAACGTTCAATCTAGATTTAAAATTCGAAGTTTTCGTGATTGCAGGGATCCATACTTTTTGGTTCTTTCGGTAAAGTCACGTAGGTATAAAATAAAATAAATTAAATCACGACGTTTCGGTCGCAACACAAGCAATCGTCATCAGGTGGGAAAACCACAGTAAGATTTAGTTTTCGTGGCAATAATTGGCACGGAGAAACCCTGCACATTCGCAGACCTACAGAGGCTTCCGTGTAATAATGTCCATATGTTTTAGCTGACCTTCGTGACAGACTGCAAACCTGAACTCCAGAAAATGAATTGCTCGTATTCGCTTGATAAAGTGAGCACATGTCTTCTTCACGGGTCCTGTTTACAAGCCAAGTGGCCAATATAATAGTGCAATAGTCAGGTTTAACTACAACCGGCATTATTCATACTTTACACATGTGGTTTGCATTACATGGACATCTCTTTTGGGAATAGTGCGGCCTTGTTCTGTGACCCCCACGGAGTTTTCAGGTGGGAACACTCGTCATTGTTTTAGTTTTAGAATGGGCATTACATTTGCGTGAGCCCAATGGGCTGTGTATGATGTGAAGTAACACGACAGCACACGGACAAAACAGAGTCATAATTATGGAAATGGCACCACAAGCCGAGTACTGCCAACAAAAAACTGAACCATCATGCAATGTTATTCTGTGTACAAGGACATGTCTTTCAATAGCAGGAATAGGTACATGGGCTGGGTGTAGCATTTGACAGATGCATTTCATTTATATCCCTGCTGCTGCTTCACCGAACATGTTAGTAAACTTAAAAAAGAAACACATTTTACCAAAAACGTTGATGCTCCAGTTACATTGAACGATGTTGTATCTGCATCTCAAAAAATAACCCTTGCATGTCGATAACATTTTATTTGTCAGACCGAATCTATAATTTCCAATTATGAATGCATTCTTTTTTTGATCTTACTAATTATAATTCAATTACAGCGCAATATGCAATGCTAGAAAATGCAAAAAGTCAGACATAATTAAGTCAATTTAGGATTCCAAGGTTTTTTCACCGCCATATAAAGAAACTCATGCAGTGTTCATCCATTGTGGAGGCCCACAGTCAGTGGAGGAGTTTTCACTTGGAGGCAACCTCTCCACAGGACACCCACTGTTGACTTCCGACAAAGAGATACTCATCGACGCGGCCGCGAGCGATGGTGGGTTTAGGTTGACCACGTACGAGGGATTTTGGCTTGCAACAATCCCAGAAACGAGCTGGGCACTCTTGATTGAACGATCTCCTGTTTTTTTTTTTTACGGTTGTGATCCCACTGGTACTTTCCCTTTTGAAAGGGCGACCCGGGTACAGCAGCTAAGTCAGGTTGCGTGTAGATATAAAGTGCAGCAGACACGACTCTGCCATAGATAAAACATGCACGACTCGGAGAGTTTCGGCAAGGTAAATTTCACCGCACCCCACAACAATTCGTTGATGAGACATCACCACTGTGATGTGGCCACCATCGCTCGGACGGTTTTGTGAGGGGGCCATGAGCCGAGTGATTAATCACATGCTACTCAGCTGAGAGGTGGCGCACAACTTTACTGGAAGTGAAACGGAGAGTGCCCAGTGGCACCCAGTGGCACTGAAGTTGGCGTGCTTCACACAATTGGAAGGTCATAAATCGATACGACGATTTGGTCGGCTTGACCAATCATCACTTTGGGGCACACAAGGTTCAAGTGAACGTCAACAGTGGTCATCATCATAATTCTACCACTTAATTCAATTGCCTCCATAAACTGCATATTCTTTGGTTATTTCTGTAAAGTCGCGTAAGATAGAAAAATAATAATACAAATTTAAGTCAATAAAAAAAAACCACGACGTTTCGATCGCAACACAAGCGGTCGTCATCAGGAAAAGGGGTTAGCCTCTAAAGGCAAACCGCTGATAAAGGTTCAGAGATGGGCGTAGCACAAGTGTGCATAGTTTAGACAAATTCAACCACCCGGTGTGTGCGCGCGACTCCCACCTCCCAACCCCCCCCCCCGTGCTCATTTGAGCAGCGAGACGCCGCCCGCCCGCCCCCCTGAGCGCGACTCACTGTAGTGAGGAGAGGGTTGTGCCTCTCTGCTTCTCCAGGTGTGCTGCGCGTCGCCGCCCCCACGCTCTGCCACCTCCCGCAGCACTGCTCCGGGGTCGGGGCTGGGGAAGCCCACCGCTCCCCCGTGGGTCGGCGCGGGGGCGCCCGTGGCCGCCAGGGCCGTGCTGCCCGGCTGCCCGTCCATCCCGGGCTCCTCGCCTCCTCTCGCCTCCACCTCGGCCGCCGCGTTCAAAGCCGCCGCCACCACCGCGGCCGGCGCCGAGGAAGGGGACGGCGGAGGCGACGGAGGCCCCGGGGCCGCCTCATCCTCGGCGATCTGCAGGCAGTCCTCCTCGTCCGTCTCCGATCCGGCGTCGATCACGCTCTCATAGCTCTGCAGCACTGCACGTGGAGAAGCGGTGGAGGCGGAGAGGGCATGGGTGGGGCGAGAGACACAGAGAAAGAGACACGGTGGCGATGAGAATTGGAGCGTTGACATCGTAGCGGCAGCCAAGGGAGAAAAGCAGCTGTGAGCATTACAGCCCATCAGAAACAAAAAAAAATTACATTTTCTAATCGTTACAATCTGAATGCAAACGCTGAAAGAATGCAATGTAACGATGAGCTAATTTTTTTGACTCTTGTATTTGTTAAAAATCAGGACCGATATTACTGATCCAAATTGCTGAGAACGAAAAGAGCTTTTTTTTGGCATGGGATTAGTGGCACCCACCCACTGTGCGCGCGCGTGTGTGCGTTGAGTAGGATGCGTTTCTCCCGTTCGCCCGGGTTTAAGAGAAGGGCATGCTCTGGCACAGGTCACACCATGGCCGTGGGCCACGTCCCTCAAAATCCCGCGTTGCTAAAAATATGTGGCGCCTGCAGTGCAGTTACTTCGGCGCGGTTACACGCAGCAAGGGCACGCGCATCCACTGCCCCCTCTGTGCTGCCACCACTCAGACGCACGCTAGCGCTGTTGACTCCTGCACAGAAAACCCTCTTGTGATCAGCGCGCCACGGCCAGGCTCCCACGTGCTAAAACTGGACGCAGGGCAACAGTCGGCGACTTGTGCTTTTCCTTCTCTCTCTCAAATTTTTGTTTCCCCCCTCCACTCCCCGACGCTAAGAACCAGACCCAACACAATTGGCGTCTTGTAGACACCGTGTCTGGGGCCATCTGTGTGTCCTGCCTGGCGGCGAGCGGCAACAGTATCACCATAGTCACAATAACAACAACAGGTCAGTGTTCGAGAACTGTCGCACGGAACCCCACAATCATTCCTTTCTTTTCGGATGCCCCATGTCGCCATGCCGAATTTCCATGCCGGAATCGATTTTCTTATTTTATACTTGCCCTCTTCCCTTTTTGTTGCAAAAAAAATACATATTATTTATTTCAAAGGCGTCACTGTTCTGTAAGGCATGTCTCTTTCTTAATTGAGAGGAATGTTCCTCGTAGGAAACCGGGATACATCTTGTGAACACAAAAAAGAGCAAAACATTATATATGAGCATATATCGAGAGATTGACACCTATATACACTTTGAAAAGGGTAAATAAGATATTAGCATCCAGTGGGATGTCAGCAAAGGTAATTCCCATGGAGAGACTGGTAAACCACCATGGGTATGCACAATTTAATTCATTCACTACCTCAGTGCAAATGTTCACGAACCCACTTGTTGTTTGAGCACCGACACAGGGTGATGTTGACCTCAACCACACCATATGACAGCAATGCAATCATTCTATTACACAAATTGTTACACAAATGATTCCATTACACATTCATTCCACAAATGCATGGAAAAGCATTTGGTATATATGGTGTAATTGATCCAAATGCACAGCTACAATTGCCAGGTAAACGCACATTATGAAGCAGAAAAATACAAGTTAAGTATTTACAGAGCATTAACAGAACATGATAAGAAAAGTGGCCATGTGATAGCAAGCACAGGTTTCACTGCATATTTTTTTGCAGGACCAGGAGAACCCATTGAAAGCACAGGCCCCTTTAATGCCACATTGTGTATTGCCAGAGCACAGAAAAGGGCAACTCATTGAATTTTATTTTCAGGACTATCATTCACATTTTAACACATCCCAATTTTCCCATTCACTCTAGGTACGAAAAAATAATCTCAACCTTATTTCGTTTCTTGAAAAAAAACCTTTACCGCATTTAGTCTACTGGCCTGGTAACGTGACACATTTTTCCAGTGTTCCAGATCACACCACGGATACCTAAACTCTGGACTAAAAACAAACAATCCGTTACATTTAAGGCTCGCTACTTCCTGCAAGCCCCCCCCCCACCCCCCCCTGACGCCATGCGCTGGGCTTGGTGAAGCTGTGGTCGTGGCAAAGAGCGCCGAAGCATAGTTTAAGTAATTCCCAGATCCGGAGCAAGGGGGCAAGAGCCCCCCCTCCCCGCCGCCCCCCCCCCCCCCAGGCTCTTTAATCTTGTCTGTCCCTCTCATAACGTCACCAAGAAAATATGCCCCTTTTTTTCATTCTAATTTTTTTTCATTCTGATTACGGGGGGGGGGGTGGGGTTCGCTCCCGATTGCAAGGCCATTATTTATTATTAAAACTTTTTTTTAAGAAGTTAAACATCTGAGCGCGTTTCAAGGATAAATGTCTGCCACTTATTGACTTTAATCTTTAATGTGCTCAATGTTCCGAGACACTGCAACAAAAATGACACTTTTAATAACTTTCTTCAGCACATTTAGACAAATTGGTTTTAAAAAGTTGGCACTTTCGTGTTGTCGCTGCGGCGTTATGTATGTTTTCTCGCAAAGGGATCGCAACCCAATTCGTTGTGAACATGAACGCTGACAAAAATAAATTTGCCAGCCAATTTAAACATGCTCTGTCCTTTCGGGGCAAATACTCAGAATCCGGACTTTTGCCAAAGCTCCTGCACAACATTTGTAGCGGCTACACTAATTGCACCGGTGGTAAAAATAACTATATAAATAAAGCGGCATATAAACATTTTATTAAAAGCAACAAATCACACTGCCTTTTGTAGGACCACACCCAAAGGCACGTCTTCCCTGCAACCCAAGCTTAAACTTGACTGCGAACTCAACGTTGTTCATGTTGTTGTTGTTATCGCTGGAGGAAAATGTTTTTTTGATACGATGCTTGAGCCCCATGGTTCCACTCCTCTAGTTTCCTCACCATTTAACCAAAAAAAATTGGTTCTTCACACCAGCCTACAGCTAGCTGGGTATGCCTCGATGATGATCCCTCGTGGTTATAAAGAGTGACCACGTGTCTCGTGCTGCTCGCTACCTTGAGCGCCCTTCTTCAAGGCGTTTTGGCAAAATATCTTAAGATGATTTGTCTTTTAGTTAGAAAAGTTGACTTATGTACAACGCTGCGATGTACTTTGTTGAATCAAAGGCAGTGGGGCGAGACGTGTTTTAGCCAATGGCAGGGCAGATTCCTGCAAAGGTCATAAGATTGAGGTATGGGGAACAATTTATCCATAATCTAGTTTGTGATTGCAATGCAGGCCACACTAGTGAAGGTGGCTGACGGTGAATACGATAATACTTGTACAACAATCATTATTTACAGCTCTTCATCAATCCTCTGCTAATTATTCACATTCAATCCAAGATATTGTCTGTGGTCATTGATTACAAAGTATAAGAAGTATAAGAAGGTTGAACACTACACCGTGGGACTGAAATTAGTCTGCTTTCCAAACACTTAGTGGAGCTAATAAAGGGTTAATGAGGCCTGCACCCAATCCCGAGACACTTTCCACCCCCCCACGACACCCCCTATCACCCCCTTACCCCACGACTCGCCCCCAACACTGACCCCAACCTTACGTCACTCCGGAACTATTTTGTTTTGGAAGCCGATTAATTTCCCCAAGCCGCCACCAGCCCCCCCAAAAAAAAAAGATGTGGAGATTTCCCTCTCCCTTTAGCCATTTTATCCTGGAGCGAAAAGATCCCTTCTCTCCCTCCCTGCAATAATGTTCGCTTTGTGTTCGGGAAAACCTCCCCTCCCTCGCAGTCATCTCTCTCAGACCCCCCTGTTTAAGCCCTGCCATCCGACAACTGCACAACAGGTGCAAATTAAAATTAAAACGGCCCTGGGCACGGTGAAAAAGATCCCGGTTTGAATACCAATGAGACGATCAGGAACTTTTTCCACCAGCCTAAACTTAACAGAGCAAGCCGGCAAGAGCACACAAAGGTGTAAGCCGGTGGGTCACAGCAGACCCACACACACACACACACGCGTGCGCGCGTGCGTGCGTGCACACGCGCACAATGTGGAGACCATGAATTGGGAAGAGCATGAATAACGTGAAAGAGAAATCTGCACCCACATGCATTCACACGGAACATACACGCGCGCTCACAAATGCACGCACTAACGCGCGCGCACAATCACGGCGCGATGCAAATAAAGACACCTCCTGAAAAATGTTACGCGCATCTGTGCGTGAATCCATTTTGGGGCTGCGCGACCGGCGCAGGCGACCGCTCACGCGTTGCACGCGTTGCGTGTGACGGTTGCGTTGCGTGTCGCCCGCACACGTGCAACATTCGGGTGCGCGTGGTGCGTGCGCGTTTGTGTGTACGCGCCCGCGGGGAACAGTGGCGCAGCGGTTAGCGTGCTGCACCGTGAACCCGGTGACCCGAGTTCGATTCACCGCTCACGGGCCAACAACGCCAGTGACGATTACCTGAACCGATCCTCGGCCTCCCCCAGGTTGACTCAGCCTCAAATGAGTGCCTGGTGCGGTGTGTAAGCATCACTACTAGGGAGACAAAGGCGACCAGGAGTGGTGCTGGCCACCCACCCCCTCTCGTGTGCCGTGCCGGCCTGAATAGGCACTCGCTAACAGCACTTGCCCCAACAGTCTGTTGAGGCTATACGGGGGATCTTTGTCGTTGTGGTGTCTGTGCACGAGCTCGCGTGCACGAGCGCAGGCTCGCCACGCGCGTGTGCATGAAGGTACACGGGCGCCTCCGTCCGCACAAGCTGTGTGGTCTTTTTTTTCTCTCTCTCTCTCCTTCCCCAAAACGACCCATGGGGTTTTGTTTGACCAACACGGTGCTGATTGTTCCGTAACCGCTTGTTTTTGAACAAAACCGGTGTTTGCGAACTTTTTGCTGATTTACTTTTTTTGTGTGTGTGTGTGCGCGCGCGCCCGCCTTTTGGGCCAGAGTCCCAGGGAGATGAGGAGGAGAACTTCCTTGCTGCTGCTGCTGCCCGGTGTGCAACAAAAAGCGGTAGTGGAAGAGAATGAGCATCGGACAGAAAGGCCCCCCCTCCCCCCGGTACAAGGGCAGCAGCTTGCGTGTGGTCTGCACACAGGCGAGACTTCTTCCAAACACAGTGCGATTTTCTTTAAGAAAAC